GAAAAGGGCTGCACTACCCTCACGGGTCTTCAAAGGTTTTTCAGAGCAACCGGGCCTCATGGCACTTTTTTTTTATTCCAGACACAGTAATGGATAAAGGATTTCACTTGTTTGTCCTTTATGGCAACCTGTACACACTTTGCTTCGTTAAAAGGCCCGGGAAAGCACAGCATTCACTCACCCTCCTGGCATTTTGGCTTCAGGTCCTGATTGGGGCCATTTATAAGTGTTGCCTCCTCTGGGGCATTTTCTTGACTGCTGATTTGTAGGTAGCAGAGGCAGCCCTGAGGGAGTGAGTTCCTGAGTAAAAGTGTATTTTGACTTGGGCTTGACAGGTTTAGGATGCCAAGAACAAGGGCCCCTGGTATGTCGGCAAAGCCATTATCCATGTAGGCCTGGCTCGCAGAGGGTGGCAGATCTTTCCTTGGGAGTCCAAGTGTGAGAGGTTATGAAGTATTGATCCATGTGTGCAAAGATTACCACCTGTGGCCTCCTGTTCCAGCCTGTTCCAGCCTGTTCCAGCCTGACACTGCTCACCTACAGAGACCCTGTACCCACACTAGCTAATCCCTTCCCCCATGTACCTTTTTAAAATTTTTATTTCATATGTAATGCTATTTGACCACATGTATGTCTATTATAAGGTTCCGTTCTTCATCTGAGAACTGACAGCTGCGCCCCAGACAGGACAGTAATATTTTTCTAGCTTCTTTGTCTTTGCCCAACTTGTTAAGCTTTAGTTATTTGGATAAACTGAGTCATTGTAAAAAAATATATATATACCAGTCTTCTTTAACTTTTTTTTTCTTTTGAGACAGGGTTCCTCTGTGTAGCCTTGGCTGTCCTGGACTCACTGCCTAGACCAGACTGGCCTTGAACTCCCAGTGATCTGCCTCCTCTGCCTCCCAGAGCGCTGGGCCTACAGGTGTGTGCCACCACACCCAGCTCAAAATACCAGTTTCCTAGGGACTAAAGTTTACTGCCTTGATGGTTTCTTTTGTTGCTAAAGGGTCTTTAGGTCTTTAACTCAGATTTTAAGGATCAAACTTAACAGGGATAAAGCTATAAAACCCTAATATTATGAAAGCTACTGACTTATTGTAAACTGTTGAAGACAATTAAGAAATGCTGGTTAATAGTCAGTGTATTCATGATCAAATGATTTAATGTGTGCAGAGCTCTCCTTGCTGTCACGCTAAGTCCTGATGTAATTATAGGAATAAGCTTTATTTAGCCTCCTGTATACGTTCTCAAAGTGAAGCCTAAAACAACTAAAAACAAGCAAAGCCTGTTTAGTTTAAACACATTCACTAGATAACGGTCCTCAAAACCTTTCCAGATCCGTTGACTACGGCATTTAAAATGTTTAATGGAAAAGGCTGACGATGACAAAGACCCCCAGGTTCTAGCAGTTACCCCAAGGTCACCATAGCTGATGATGGTCGTGGAAGAACTCCACTTGGAGCTTGCTGGGAATGTGGCACAGCCAGCCACTGGATGAAAAATTCCCCTTCCCCTTGCCCATCGCCAGGACCCTGTCCAAACTGTGGACAAGCAGGACACTGGGGAGTTGACCATCCTGTTTGCTGAGACAGAGCAGGCCGGTCCCCCAAGTCCTAGTCCACAGGAAAGTCCGTTGGACCCTCTGAGCCTGACAGCAAAGACTGACGCTGCCCTGGCCCCTCTGCTCCCAAGGACATCAAGATTACCACAGAGGAACCCGGGAGATTGTCCGGGTAGCTGCTGAGTCTCCGTCATTTTTAGCAGATTCCGGAGCTTCTTGGTCTGCAGGTGGACAGAGCCTGGTCACTGTGGGGTCCGTGAGGGGTTCGCAGGCCAGCGCCTCTGCTTAAGGACAGCTTCTCTCCCTGTGTCCCCAACTGCTTGTTGTTGCCACTGTATGCCCGGAAGAGGCTTTTCTTCCAGAAGACTCCAGGGTGCGACTTCTGAAGAGAAGAGGCAGAGGAAGGGTGGAGAATGATGATGAGTTTGGCCTGTGTTTCTGTCCTGGTGTCCAGACAGCTTCTGGGGGAGAACTCGGAGACTCCATGACACACAGCGCTCTGTCCTGCACACAGGGTTCTGGGCTGGGGAAGCCCAGGGTGGAGACTCCCCATGTCCCAGTTTCACTTCTGCTCCTAACCTGTGTCAGGTCCTTCTGCCCGGACACTGATGACGCGCCGGCGCTCCTCTCCCCCATTGGGTGGCGACATCCTGGGGAGCCAATCAGCGTCGCCGC